TTTGGCCTTTACAAAAAGTTGGGAGAGGCAAAACCGTCGATCTCGCCGTCGGCGGCCTCGAGGGCGTCGTTGGCGGACCTTCATAATCAATTAATTCTGGAGTCTCGGGAAAATCTCGTCGTCGGCGCCAAGTTCAATTTTGCACATTTTGGTCCTTTTCGCACTTTTTTGCATCTTTTTGCTCAAATGACCCTAATTCATCATTCTTGCAAAAAATACATTTCTTTAAAGTGCAATATCATCAAAAACAGTATATAATAGGTATGAAAATCTCAACATATTTTCCTCTGGTCAGACTCCTGCCGTCACGACATGCCCATCTTCGGGTCACTGCCTTCCAGCATATTAGATTTACGGGCCTCTGCCGCCACGACATGCCCATCCCTACGAGTCACCGCATTCATGACATAATTTTTATCACTACTTATGTGTTTTATTTGCTTGTATTTGCACTTGCATGTTTGCATGGATAGTGAGCTGGACTCGTCATGAGAGTGACCCCGTGTTGGTCACGATGCCTTAACGAGTATCGCTTGTTGGGTTGATCCCGGTGAGCAATGCGAGTTAAGTCATCGAGATTGACACGAGTATGACTGTGCTATAGATCTAACTTAGATTTAACTCGTGTCAACACACTTCGTGACATCCTTTAGATCCTTCAAATCTTTAGGATGGGACCGGTATGACAACCCTGTCAAAGTTATACTATACCCACACTTAGATACTAGGTTGATGCACTTTTCGTCAGATGGTGTGCTAGGCTAGGATTTAGGTTGTTAGGTAATCTTTGTGATGTCTGGTTATTGTTGCTGGATTGGTTGTCCAAACTAGATATCTTTCTTTTATAATATGCTTGTGGTGTGACAGCATGTTGCATATGTGTGGTAGCGTGTTAGAATGTTCTTTTGCAGTGAGTCATGTCTATTTATATGCACACGCACATATATCGCTGTTGAGGGAGCATGTAATGATTTCTGACCCTTTTGCTTGAAGGTGATATTTAGCTCTCCCACTTTTAAGGCATGACTCATGATATGTATTTGCATATTAGCTTTAACGTTGACACTTATTTTCATGCAGGATTGAGCTTTTTTCTTTTCTCTATGTACTATTAGAGTCCAGGAGAATCCTGTGCAGAAATAAGATACGGGCACAGTTTCTGATGCGTTTGACTCGGGAACCACGTAGAGGGGACATAAAGCATATGCTCGTGTCTCGTATCTTATTTCTGCATTTTATATTGATGTATAGAATTAGGACCGGACATACATATGCGGAGTCCGCCACCGCCTTTTTCTTTCCTGTGATATGTTGTCGACCCAACGACACCGGTTTGTTTATTATTTTGATTTGAATTATTTTGCTTTTTAACGACACCGGCTTGTTTATTATTTTGATTTGAATTATTTTGCTTTTTTTGCGTCTTGTTACATGGTTGCACCTGCATGTGTTTTCCTTGTTTGTTTCTGTGGTTTATCTTGGATTTCACGATGCAATATAGACTTTTTAGGACTTAAAATCCTAATTTTTTTCTACTTAAAAATCATAATTAAAATATTCAAGTTAATTAAAATTTAGGATTAAAATATTCAGAATTTAAAAATTACAAAATTTACTTTCCTGCATATATTAATAGAATCTCCACAATAATTAGGACTGCTCTAGATAACTGCATTCATATTTGCATGTCCCGAGGAGGAGTCCCTGTACTTCTCCAACCAGACTGGTCCAGCATACCTTCATATATGTATTTGTCTAGTGCGCCTAGGGTGTTAGAAAACTCCCTGACCTAGACGAGGTATAAGTCCTTTTGTTTGAAGCGTTTCTGAAGCGTTTCTAATTTTGTAGCTAAACCTCCACTTCTCTTTTTTTCCTGAGGCATCCTTGCTATTTCGGCAGGTATAAGTCCCACCCATTGGAGCTCCAGCTTGTAGTCATATGATAGAGTTTTCTTCGTTTGACCTTAGGGCTACCGAGGTTCCCGTGGACGACGCAATTCACAGATTACTGACCGGGGATCTCAGGACGTGTTGGGTCGACTACCATCAGAACCAGGTAGACTAAAGGTTTTAGTAGCTGTAGATGACGGGTCTCTGGTACCCCGACGAAGTTACCTCTACCTTTTAGGATCACTCTACCTTCCTTTTTGTTGAGGCCCTTTGAGCCTTATCACTTCTTGACTTCATTGATATCACGTTGACGACCCGATACTGATGAGCTGCGGCCCATTCTGGATACGACGATTTGTCCTCTGCCTTTATGGCGCGGACATGCTTTGACGTGTTGGGATATTTCCGTCAAGATGATTTAGGTTTTTTCGTGGGCCCCGTGTGCTAATTAGCCGCTACCCATTTGCGATGTAAGAGACTCACTCTCTGCCTGACGGCTTAGCGTGAGCTTTGAAGCATCGGGACTATTCCCCACACAGAATAACCTTTCTTTGATTACCTATACCTCAGATTTATGATAATATGAAGTAAAACTCCTTTTATATAGAGTATTCTTGGGTATCCCCCAACATGTAATTAATCAGTAGGAACACGTTCCTTTGGGAGTGCTCTTGACCCCAGAACAGGTACATGCACCTGACTCTCTGGTTATGGGTAGTCTATGTAGATACTTCTTTCGCGGATATTGGTTTAAGGTGTCTCCGCCCTTTGGGCGGACATTTTTGACTTATCCTTGTATGTTTATCGCACATAGTCTCTCCACATTTTACTTTTTATCTTGTTTGTCATTTTGTTGTATTTCCCTTCTTATTCGGTTCCTCTCATCTTTGACTCATTTATATGATTTGAGAGGGAGATTTGGAGGGGGATTTATTCGAATAAGGGAAGTATACGACGATCGATAAGCCAACGACTCCTTTTAAAATGAAAAAGAGAAAAATGAACGGAAACATTGCATGAGTATGCTTCGCTTGTGTGCATGGTGCTCTGTGTTTGGTATGTGCTTGTGATTTGTATGTGTGCCTGGTCATTATTGGAGTAATGTGTAATTCTCCTCAGTGACATCGTATGCCCTAGGTGACCGAGCCCAACACTTCTTGTGCTGTATGTCTTGTGTGTCATCTTACATGATTTTTATCATTTGCTTAGGTTGTGCTTCGTTTAGGGTCAATGCTTCCATAGCACATGCATTCGTTAGGCCCCCGCCTCCTCAGCACGCCCATCATTTCAGGTCACTGTCTCCATGACACACTCATTCATTAGACCCCTACCTTCTTGGCACACCCATCTTTTTGAATCACTGCCTCACGACACTCTCACCTTTTCGGCTCACTACCTTCACAGCATACCCTCCTTCCTGAGTTACTGCACCTACAATACACTCATAATTTCTATCTCATGACTATTTTCATTTGCATTTGCATGCCTTCACGGTACTCCCACCCTGGATGTGGATTCCTTAACGAGCATTGCTTGCCGAGTTGATCCTGAGAAGCAATGCGAGTTAAGTCATCGAGATTGACACGAGTACAACTATGTTAAAGATTCAAGGGCTCTAAGGGGTGTCATATGCATCACAGACCCACATTGTAGGTCTGTTGTTTTCAAAGCATGAAAATGGATATTTTCACTATTATTAGTATTATCCACCTACTTTAAAATTATGTAAGTTAGGTCATATGTGAGGTCACTTATTTTAAAATGTCACTCACTTTTTTGTGACGTGCTTTAGATTCCTTCAATCTTTAGAACAAGGTCGGTATGGCGACCCCGTTAAAGTTATACGATAATCAAGGGCTTTACCTTGAGCACTTAAAAACTGATTTGGACACTTTTTTTGTTAGATTGTGTGCTAGACTAGGTCAGTTCTTTTGCAGGGTGTCGTGGCTATGTGGGATCATGTAATGATTTCAAACCCTCTACTTTCAGGTGCTCTTTAGCTCCCTCTATTATGGGGCACACCCGTCAATCGACATATGACTCATCAAAAGTGGAAATAACTATGCCTTTGTCACCCAACATGGAGGCTTCTTGAGGCTAAATAGAACTAGCGATACAACCCTTCTATCTTGGATCACTACTAGTAAAAGATCCTCATTAGAACTAAATAATTCTTTGGCTAGCTTTGCAAGAGCGTTGAATTTGCCATTGAGGAGACAAAGTATTTTGATCAAAGTCACATCGGGAATATGTTCTAATAACGACGTGGCTCTTTTGTGATATACCATGTGGTCTTGCTTGATGACTTCATAGGTCCCCAAGACTTGGCTAATTATGAGTTTTGAATCACCATACACTTTGATTTTTTTTTTATTCATTTGGATGGCGATTTCCATCCCCCAAGAATCAAGGTTTCATTTCCCGCCTCATTATTTGTGTGTGGTTCTATCAAGTTAAAAGAATAGCAAAAAATAACATGCTCCAGGGATATGAAAATCAATCAAATCCCATACTGCACATTTTAAAGAGATTCCGGTGGCCCTTCATCAAGGAGGATGCCCCATCGAAGCACAACTCCCGCTCAGGAGAGTCGATGGGCAATAAGTGCTCATCGGGAAACTCATTGTTCAACGATGAATGAGTCGGAATCTGTATAACTGCTAGAAATTCATACGAAAAGTCAAATAGTGATAGAATCACGACCTATCTAGCTAATTATCCATCCAATGTAGGACAAGTCATCAAGTACTATAGGAGATTTGCGTTGAAATTACATCAATATGATGTGTGGGCATATAATGTCTCAATTTCTGCACTGAAAATATCAACGCAACAAAGTTTTTTCTCAATTGGCGAATACTTCATTTCCTTTCATCGTTAACTTGAGCTAACAAAACCCCCACTGACTCATCTAGTGAGGAAGTATATAGAAGGGGTTGAGAGCTGTTAATATTGGTGATGCCAAAAAGTAGTGCTTAATATCGTTGAAAGCACACACTTTGTCCCAATGAAATCGAACAATCTTTTTGACAAAAGCAGAGAAAAGTCAACATCATTCAGACTAGTTGGAGATAAACCTCCGAATGAATGAAGCTTTCCTTGAAGGATTCGCAGTTGCGTTAAACTTATAGGATATTCCAACTTTAAGATATCATTCATCTCACTAAGTTCAACCTCTGTGCCTTAATGACAGGCTATAAAACCCCAGAATTTTCCCAAAAAAACATAAAATGTGCACTTTAAAGGTTTCATTTTTAGATCATACCTCCTAAGACGTTCAAAGATGATTCTTAGGTCTAATATATGATCTTCTTCGGGATGGCTCTTAATTACAACATCATCAATAACATTCAACTTGGTAGTGCAAGAGGTCATCAAAGATGTGCGGCATGGCACATAAATAGGTGGCTCCTACATTTTTCAAACAATGGCCATGCCCTTGTAATAGAATATCCCTATAGGAGTGCAAAACGTTGAATTTTGTTCATCATCCGTATTCAATTGTAGACAAGCAATCCATAAAATAAAACATGGCTTCAGTCGAAGTGACATCTGTCATTAGTTCCGACAAAGGCAGAAGCAGTATATTACTGTACAATATTTTAATGGACGAGAAATGAGGCCACGATAGCTAAACCATGTTCAAAATTTGGTAGGCATGGCAGCTAATTTCTAAAAAGGAAAGGATAGCTTAATGGGCTCCACAGATTTCTGAACTCTGGATATAAAGCTACGTCGCTCCGTGCACAAATGCCCAAAAGAGTGACAAAAAAAGTATTATAAACATACGTACATATATATATATATATATACA